TGGAGGGGGGATCTATAGACATGGGGGCGCAGGGTGCGGGGAGACAAGGGAAGCGCTTTGTGTCTTGGCCACGCTGATGTTTGACGGCAAACAGGTGCCCTAAGGCGCACTGAAGTCGCTCGTAAATATCGCTGTACGGCCCAAGAGTGCTGACTTCTAAAGTTCATTTTACTTCCATTATACAAGTAACAACAGCATGGTATAATTTTTAAAGAGTAATATTTTAATAACAATACAAAATATGTAAGTAATTAGGAAAGCAGTTAACAGAAGATCTTCATGGAAACATACTCCAAACCTACCTTGAGAGACATGAAGAAAATCTAAGAGAATTAAGCATCACATGCTTGCCACAGAGGGCAGGAGATGCATCAGAACCAGGCCTGCTCGAGCTCCCCCAGCTGCTGGACAGGGCCAGAAAATGAACCCAGAACCACGTACTCTCCTCAGAGTGCACAGGCCCCGTGTCGCCCACGAGGAAGCACTGGGCAGCACGAGAGCTGTCTGCAGACAGAGTTGGAAAGGCCTCGGGCTCTGGGAGGATGGGAACAAGAATGCAAGAGGGGCTGCAGAAGAGGCAGAGCCAGGACTGCGATGCTGGCCACCGTGTGAGGGTCTCGGGGGCAGGAATGGGACCAGCAGCAGGAGAGAAACCCCCCATCACTCCTCTCTGGTGTCAGGACTTCTCCACATCAGCAAAGCCTTTCAAGAAATAAGAGGGCTTGGGAGACAGCTCCCTGGAAACTGCAAGACATTGTATGAAGAGGGAAAAGGAGAAGGAGGAGGAAAGGGAGCACACTAAGAAACTGAATTTGAGGTGGCCACAGGTGATGATTTAGAAAGACCCAGAAGGAGGCAGTGGTAGAGAAAGAGGTGGGAAGCCAAGAGGATCTCCTAGGGATAGGGGTGTGTTTAAGAATGGAGAAGGGGGGAAACAATACTATGAAAGGAAAAAAAACTGCTCAAAAGGAAGGGGAAAAGGCAAAAAGAAGGGGGATATATGATAGCTAATTGTACTACCAATTTCTATTAGTGCATTGAAAGGAACAGCTAGTGTTTACATTGTTTGACCAACTTAGCATGCCTCTATCTTGTCATCTGAGTGGCTACCTTGAGGACAACAACCATATAATAACCACTGTTAACTTCCTATCATCTTCCCTTATATTCCATATCATTTTTTATTGTTAAAATTTTAAACTTAGGGCTGGTGAGATGGCTCAGTGGTCTAAAGCACCTACTTAGAACAAGCTTAGCAAAGCGCAGGGACCGCGGTTCAATCCCCCAGCACCACATGCCGGCCAGCCCCGCCCCCTGGTGGGCAGAGCTGGCCACACACACACACACATACACACACACAATAAATCAAATAAATTTTTTTAAAAAAATCTTGAACTTAAATAATAAAAAAGCACGCTGATGCCCAGGATGTGGGGAGGCCAGAAAGGACAGAACTGTTAGAAGAGAAAGTCCCCAAGAGTTGGGAGTGAGAGGGAGCTGCAGGGCTGGGGGCTGCACACTGCAGCTGTGGCCCTGATGGCAGAAAGGGGTGCAGAGTGGCACCCTCCGGCCCGGGGAGGCAGAAGCCACCGTGGCACTTGCTGTTGTGGCATTTGTTTTATCTTAAAAGAAGAACACTCCAAAAAAAAAAAAAAATTGAATTTCAATCCCCGGTTCCGCCAAAACAGAGGAACCCTCCCTAATGCTCTGTGGGAATGTCCACTCCATCCGCTGTCCGCAGTGTCCCTGGTTTTGCTCTGAAATCCTCTCATTCCAGGAAGAGGAAGCTGTCTAAGAAAGTCAGGAACAAGGGAGTTGGGTTCCCTCAGAACCCGCTGTTCTACCCACAAACCAAGGCTTCCACTGTCCAGGGGCATCCCCAGTGAATGCCTAGCCATCGCTGAAGGCTGTCCTGAGCTACCTTCAGACAGTACAGACAAGACTTCTCTTCCTGGGGGCAGAACGACCCTGTTTCTGATTTTTGTTCTTGCTTTTGTCTTTTAACTTTCAAGATGAAATAATAAAATTAAATTTTTTAAATCTCTTTTTTCTTTTTTTTTTTTTTTGTTAATTTTATTAAGAAACAAATAGCAATGAGACAGTTTCAAAACTGATTAGTAGGACAGTTTCAATAATTAGTACCTGGCATGTTGTTGTATTTGTAGTACAAGATGGAGACGTGATATCCTGTCCACAAACACTATTAAAACAAATCTTTCTATTAATTGAATTAAGAGAATGTAGCTGTATATCTATCCTAACTTTTTTTGTATATACAGATACAAAATGGTCCTTCACTTGTATCCCCTTTTTTGTTTAGTGTTGTCAGAGATGGGTATTCCATTCCCATTTGAATATTGTAGGTGCACGAATTCAGCAAAATAATCCAATATAGTCCAGTAGTCCATAATAGTAGTGGGTTTTCCGTAGGACTGGCAATGTCAGAAGTTGTTGACTTGAGCCTTTTACAGCTCAGCATATTAATATGACTTTACTTTTTATACCTTGTTTTTATACTTTTCTGCCAGATGGTTAAGACCAGGATAAAGTAAGACCTATATAACAAGAAATGTAGGGGCTGGTGAGATGGCTCAGTGGTCTAAAGCACCTACTTAGAACAAGCTTAGCAAAGCACAGGGACTGCGGTTCAATCCCCCAGTACCACATGCTAGCCAGCCCCGCCCCCTGGTGGGCTGAGCTGGCCACACACACACACACACACAAAATAAATAAATAAATAAATAAATAAACAAATTAAAAAAAAACATTGATTAAAAAGAAAAAAACAAAACAAGAAATGTAACTTTTGTATCTGACAAGGTCAGTCAAATCCCCTCAGGATTTACCCTGAAACCTTGTACCACAGTTTGTAGATCCTTTGTCAGTGTCAGCCATGTGGATGAGTCACAGCCATTGCTTGGCCAATTTGCTCTCTGTGAAAGCCTGAGAGAATGTTTTCTCTCCATGTGACTCTCCTTAGGCACACTCTAGATCATCAATCACTTTCCTCTGTAACCCCATAATCTCCTTGATCAGAAAATTTGGGACACCACTGAGTTGCAGGACATTACACTACAGGTTTTCTTATGTCCTGAGTCCTCACTGACCTTGAAAGGCTAGGGCCAAAATTTTGGCTGTCCTTGCAGCCCTTCTTTTTCTCTAATTTTTGGTCTGCAAACTTAAGTTGTTAACCCTCCAGAAGAGAAGCTTAATGGTATTATTACCATACAACATAGGCAGTTGAGCTTAACCTCACTATCTGTCTGAATATCAAACATCTTGGACATAACATGGAACAGGTATTTTCCATCAAGTATTGATATCCTCTTTTTTCTTGAAAGCAAAATCATATATCTGATCTTATACAGCTATATCTGTTAATCTGAGCAACAGATTTGATGATAAATATAGATAATATAATAACCTTTTTAAATTAGCTATACTTGTTTTGAAAATATGTAACATATGTATTTTTGTATGTTTCTCTGTTTTTGTCATTGTTTCTGTTATTTGTTTTTACTCCTGAAAATAAGACTTTAAAAAAATAAATAAAATAAAATAAAAAGAACCCGCTGCTGATGAGAGCTGAGGCCTCTGTCCCCAGCGAGAGCTCCCAGGACTATAAGAGAGCACGGAAATTCATGAGGCGTGATAATGTCAAGCTGGACCTGACATGGAGACGGTGACCCCCAAATAAGCAGCGGTCAGCGCCTCTCTGTGGCTTTGGACTTCCACAGAATTCACAATAGGCCAGATGGGAAGGGATGAAACGTGCCCTTGTGCCGGGGGCCAGGTCTGCAGCCCGAGGCCAGCAGGACAGTGCCCGCTGCGTTCTGCTCTCCTTCTACCCCCTCTCTCCCTCCCTCCCTCTCTTCTCTCCTCTCTCCTTACTGTTTTCTTTCTGTATTACACCTTGCATGTCTCCAGTCTCAACCTTGGGAATACTGAGCACAAAAAGGGGCTGGCAGCGAAGGCCCTGAGTTCCGCCCCCAGACAGGAGTAGGAGGACCCTCGCTGCCTAGAGAGGCGCCTCGGTCGTGGGCAGAGGTCTTTGCGAATGGATTGGTGGGTGCCCCAAAGAGGCCCTCAAGCCTCCCAGCACGCGAGGGTGCAGCTGGAAGGAACCACCCACATAGCACAGGGGTCCTCTCTGGACACAGAGTCTCCTGGTGTCTGGGGCTTCTCTTTCTGGGGAGCTCCTGCTGTCTGGGGCTCCTCTTTCTCCAGAACTGTGAGAAATAAACATTCCTTATTTTATTTTTTTTTTAAATGTATTTAGTACAGAGCCTACAGGGCCTACTGGGTCTCATTACACAGATCAGACTCATAGTGATTCTCCTGTCTTCGGCCTCCCAAACCCTGGGATTACAGGCGCGCAGATGGGTGTGGTATGTGCCTGTAATCCCAGCCCTCGGGAGGCTGAGGCACTGTGAATTCGAGGCCAGCCTGGGCAGCGATAGCATGAAGACAGAAGAAGTGACCGACTGATTTCATCTGAATTCAGGGAGGAGCAGGGTCCTGAGAAATGACACTGTAGAAAAGCCCAGAAGGCCACTCAAAGTGGCCAAAATAAAACGCTGGCTAAGGAAGAGGTTTTGAGGTCAGAGTTTTAACCTGGAGAAAACAAACTATCCCCTGCAGTTGGCATTTGCTCACCACCACCGATGCCACGAACCTTGAGTCACAACGGAAGGCCCTCCTCACAGACGCTAACAGTTAGCTGGGGCCTTCGTCACTGAGCATAAATTTAATAAAGCTGACTTTTTTTTTTTTTTCTTTTTTTTCAGTGCTGGGGATTGAACTCAGGACCCTGCACTTGCCAGGCAAGCGCCTATTCTACTGAGCTATCTCCCTGGCCCACGCTGACATTTCATAGCTCTACGTTCCACACCTTCTGCAATCCCTGACCCATCCAAATCATTAAGGCTGTGCTACACTCACAATGCCCACGGTGGCCCCAGCTTCCCAGGAATCCTGAGCAGCGTGTTTGTCTCTCCTACCGGAAATGGCGGTCCTTGTACTCTTCAAAGCTCGCGTTCCTGCAGGTGGAGCCAGTGTTACAGAGCAGCCCTCGGACAAAGGGGAAAACCCCCCGGCTGGGAAGATCCCGGGGCTGCAAGAAACCTGGCAACAAAGGCAAGGAAGAGATGAGTCCACCCCTGCCACCGAAGGGGCCACACACTGAGTGAGAAGTGCACTTCTAGCAGATAGCGCCGTAACTTACAACATCACATCATGATATTACCAGGCCGGTTACTAAAAGATATCTAACGAATATCAAAAAGCAATAAAACCCTGTACAGGTAACACTTCTTACCCACATCTGCACTCCCGCTCTAGGCATAGTGGCTGTGAAAACAGCAGCTTCCCTGTCCCTGCAGTGGCCGCACCTCTGTGCCACATCCCAGCGCCAGGTGCAGCCGTGGGTAGAAAGCATAAGCCTGGCTACTTGCCCATCTCATGGTAAAATTCAGGAGTTTTAACGCTTGTGAAAGCTTCAAGTTCAGCACAATTGGATGCTTAAATACTTAAGTTTAGTTGCTAAGTATATATCATGCAAAATGACTTGGAGCAAAGCTTTGTCAGGACAGACCTGGCTACCGTGACTCACTCCCTGGATAAAGTGCTGATGGTGGACAGCCCAGCCCTACATGCCTGTCACAACCCCTGCAGATGGGAACAGTGGAAATGCTGACAGGAGTAGGCATCTGAGAAGTCACTGGTCTCGAGGTTTTCCCTGGTGACAGACTCTCTCTCTCGTGTCTAGTCCAAGAAAGGATTTCACTCCAGGGCTTGGAGATCCACTATGCGCAGCATTTAGCGCACTCTCTCATATTGAAGATGGTCACCGCATGTTTGGTGGGCAAAACGAATGAATGAAAACTACATGAGTGGGCTTCCATGAGAGGAGCATGGAAGCCCACTCATGGAGAGGACGGGTCAGCGAGGGCTCCCACTACATGAGAGGAGCATGCCGTTCTTGCTGCACACGTGGGGTGGGGCCGTTGAGCAGGTGACCATAGAGGCTTGGAGGCCATGCTCCAGCTAGTGACAGAAGGCACATTTCGCTGCCATAGCTCTATATCACCTTCTCTTGGGAATACGCCAGGAAGGGTGGCCACCACCCTTGCTCCCAGTGTCCTAAAATAATCTGCTGCTCCAGCAAGCTCTGCATGGGTGAGAAAAAACCCATCACTTCATCGATCGGTTGGGACACAAAGGGCACGTGGGACTCATGTGTTGAGTGAATAAATAAAATATTCACTAGAAGCCCTGAAAAGCTTCTTAGCTCCTCCTAGATGAGGTCTTGATAATATGGCTTCACGTTTTCCTGCAATATGCAGGGCAGTCCCCAACCACAGAGACCACCAGGGAGGACCCTTCCCTTTCTATAGAAGATCTGTGACTCGAGAGTGGGATTCCGAGTGACACTCACAGCTGTCTTTGTGTCTGGGAGGCGTCTGGAACCGCAGGACCATCAGAATCATGAACAGGATGCAGGGCCAGAGGAATTCAGCGAGGGAAAGGACCTGAGAAGCAGAAAAAACAGGCAGTGCTTGAGTAATCTGTGAAGCACCCCTGCGGCTGCTGCCCGGGCCTGTCTCTCGGGACAGCCACAGGGATGGGACCCACGGGAGTCCACGCTGCGTGTCTCCTTGTCCTTCTCTCACCAGCCTGGCTCGCTCCTTTCCTTTCCTGTATTCTGACATTGTGCACAATTCAGGGCATTCAAGAAGCCAAAGCGAGAGCAATCTGAGGCGCCTTTCCACACTCCAGCGAACCTGTTTCTAATCGCGGTAGCAGCCCCGAACCTCCCACCAAGCACACCCTTTGCTGGCCTTAGTGGAAGCACACGCTTCTTCCTGCCCTCGCTTTATGAATGTTTTCAGCATTGTTGTCAAGAATCACAGCTAGGGGCTGGAGAGATGGCTCAGTGGTCTAAAGCACCTATTTGGAACAAGCTTGGCAAAGCACAGGGACCACAGTTCGATTCCCCAGCACCACATGCCAGCCAGCCCCGCCCCCTGGTGGGCTGAGCTGGCCACACACACACACACACACACACACACACACACACACAATAAATAAATAAAGATTAACTTTAAAAAAAAAAAAAGAATCACAGCTAGACTACTGGACTATATTGGATTATTTTGCTGAATTCACACACCTACAATATTTAAATGACAATGGAATACCCATCTCTGACAAAACTAAACAAAAAAAGGGGATACAAATGAAGGACCATTTTGTATCTGTATATTCAAAATAGTTAGGATAGATATACAGCTACTTTCTCTTAATTCAATGAATAGAAAGATTTGTTCTAATAGTGTTTGTGGACAGGATATCATGTCTGCATCTTATACAATGAATAACCACTAAGACAACAATATGCAATGTGTTATTTAAACTGTCCTACTAATCAGTTTTGAAACTGTCTCATTGCTATTTCTCAATAAAATTATTAAATAAATAAATAAAAATAAAAATAAAGAATCACAGCTGCAGGGGCCGGGGAGATGGCTCAGTAGAATAAGCATTTGCCTGGCAAACACAAGGACCTAAGTTCAATTCCCGGTTCTGCAAGAAAAAAAAAAAAAAAAATCACAGCTACAACTTTACTGTCAAATGGAAATATCGTGGTCCACAGAATCATCCTTCCTCCCAGGGGAAAACTTTTGGTTTCTGTCAGTACTGGGAATCAAACCCAGGTCCTTCACTCTGCATGACAGCCTTGCTCCCTTTTTAACATTTTTAAAACTGTGAGCCAGGACATTACAAGTTGCCCAGGTCAAGCTGGAACTTGTGATCCTCCTGCCTCAGCCTCTCAGAGAGCTAGGAACCAGGTCTACACCAATACATCCAGCTGGGAAGATGTTCTGTAGATAAACTATTTTTTTAATCTTTTATTTATTTATGTATTTGGTACAGCGTCTCACTACACAGCTTGGACTCACAGTGATCCTCCTGTCTCAGCCTTCCCAGCACCCTGATTATAAGCATGCACCACCACGCCTGGTCTCAGTGGCCGGCTCAGCCCACCTGCTGGCCGGGCTGACGCAGCATGTGATGCCAGGGATCGAACCCAAGTCCTTGCACTTGCCAGGCAGGCACTTAGACCACCAGGCTATCTCCCCAGCCATGGATAAACTATTTTTTTTTGAAACTTTTTTTTTTGGCAAAACCGGGGATTGACCTCAGGCCCTTGCGCTTGCCAGGGAAGCACTTATTCCACTGAGCCATCTCCCCGGCCCCCAATAAACTATTTTTTAATTATTGTCTTGAGTTTTTAATAAACTCCTAAAAGTAATATTAGTGGAGTCAAATGTTTTGACCCAAACCACTAAGACAGTTATCAGAAAGTTGGTACAATTTTTATTTTCAAAATTAAAAGGAAAAAAATAACAGCTGCTATCAATACACAGAATTTTATTATTTAAGAAGAAAGCACTGCCTGTAACATAGAGCCCAGGGAAAGGTTAAGTAGCAGGAAATCTTCCGTTACTCTGTTGGCCCTGAGTTCGTCATTTGCTCTTGTGGGGTCTAATCTTCCTTCACTGATCCCGTGCCATCGGCTACTGCAAAGGCCAAGTGGACCGCCAGACACAACGTGAGAAAGCCTTTGCTGGGCATGCCTGTGTGCCTGCAGCCCCAGGACTCTAGAAGGCTGAGGCAGGAGGATGCTTCATTCAAGCCCAGCCCGAGGCATTTGGTGAATCCCTAGAATGTAGCTCAGCATGAAGACCCTGGGAGCAGCCCCAGCATTAGGAAGGGAAAAGGAAGGAAGGGGGAGGAGGGACTCACGTGAATAAACACAGGCACACAAGCCTAACAGCCTGCAGGCCCGGACACTTCGCCCACGCTGGGCAGGGCTTCTGCTCTTTCTCACTCCCAGTTCCAATACTTTGAACAACAGTGAACTTCTGGTCTCTTCAGCCCTTTGCCCTTTAAACACCCCAGGCCACACCCTACTATCATCCCTCCCTGCTCTGAGCAGATCTCCCAGAGGCCAGGTGGACGGGTGAGACCAGGAACCACCATGACAGATGCGGGGAGGGGTCAAGAGCATGTCAGTCCCCACTGGGATGGAGAAGATGTCACCCTCTGTGACTCGGTGTATGGGGAAGTGTTTCCTGCATCGCAAAGTGCAATATGATTTAAAAAAATAAAATAAAATTGGGCTGGTGAGATGGCTCAGTGGTCTAAAGCACCCACTTAGAACAAGCTTAGCAAAGCACAGGGACCGCGGTTCAATCCCCCAGCACCACATGCCAGCCAGCCCCGCCCC